AGCTAAATTATACAAGGTGATTCAAAAAACCGCTGACAGACTTCTGGAGTAGATAATACATGAAAAATTAAGATGAATAGTCTCTATATACATGGGGTCGCAAATGCCTTCCTGGCGAGATATAGCGGATCAAAGTTTCTTTAATCCTAAACATTATCTGCAATAAAAAGCACATTTTTAAAAATATTGTCTACGCCATTCCTCTCTACGCGTGTAAAGTGATCAACTATCTATCAATTGGTCTCTTACAAAACTTTGATCAAAGCAATAGTTTCTAAGAAAAACACGTTTGTAGAAAATTTGTTAATTCAATCAAAAACTGTTGCTGTAATCAAAGATTTGTAAGAGACTTTACACGAAAATACTGCCCGTTTGACAAAATTAGCAGTGGAGTTGAAAATATTTTTAAAAAAGCCCTTTTTATTGCAGATAATGTTTCATTTTAAAAAAACTTTGAGCCGCTATATCTCGTTAAGGAGGTATTTGCGACCCCATGTATATTAAGACTTTTCATCTTAATTTTTGATGTAGTACCTGCCATAGAAGTCTGTCAGCGGTTTTTTGAATCACCCTGTAGAAAAAAAAAATTTTTAATTTTAATGATTAATCTCTTTGTGGTTTCTTAGTTTTCCACCGCCATTTGTAAATGTGCCAGACAGTTCGATTTCTTGGCTTTACGACGAAATGGATTCGCAATGGAGAAAATGGTTACCAAGTTCGGTTAGTAATACGGTTCGACGCGGAGCTTTCTATTCGGTTTTAGTTAGACCGGGATTTCGTTTAATTTCCCTCAACATGAACTACTGCAACAATAAAAACTGGTGGTTACTTTTGAACAGTACCGACCCGGCGACCGAACTTCAATGGTTCATTTACGAATTACAATCAGCCGAATTTAACGGCGAAAGAGTTCACGTTATCGGTCATATTCCACCTGGACATTCTGATTGCTTAAAAATTTGGTCGCGAAATTATTATGCTATAATTAATAGATACGAATCAACGATTGCAGCTCAATTTTTTGGACACACACACTACGATGAATTTGAAGTTTTTTATGATCACGATGATTTTAGTAGAGCAATAAATGTTGCTTATATTGGACCATCCGTTTCTCCATATTACGATTTAAATCCTGGATATAGAATTTATTACATTGATGGTGATCATGATAAAACAACTAGAGTAATGGATCATTTAATTTCAATTTTTGGTTAAAACACAAATTATATTTTTTTAGACTGTTGTTGATCATGAATCGTGGACGATGAATTTACGCGAAGCGAACGTTTATGGTTATCCAATATGGTTTAAATTGTATTCGGCTAAACAAGCTTTTGGAATGGACGCTTTGAGGCCGATCGATTGGGATGAAATGGTTGAAAAGATGTCGAATGAACCGGAATTATTTGAATTATTTTATAAGTAATGTGCTTTATTTTCTATATAATGATATAGAATTAATTCATGTTATATTTAGATATTATTACAAAGCAAGTCCGGTGAGGCCAATTTGTGACTTGGAATGCAAGAAGAGAATTTTATGCGATTTGCGATCTGGTAGATCACATGATAGAAAAAATTTGTGCCAAACTTTAGAATCTAGGATTGATACTTCCACTACTGTTTCCTGGAGGGAATGGTTTTATAATACTATTTCAGTTTCGTAAGTTATTTTTATTAATATTACAAGTTTATATGGTTTTGGACACGTGCAAAAACTGTTGTGGCTCAATTTTAATTCACATCATCCAAAAACATCGTTATTGCAAATGTTGCAGATTCAAGAGTAGTTTCAGTAGTAGTTCAAATAGTAAAATAGCATACCTTATCTGACTCCTCTAATGTTGCACCTGCAACTTTTAGGTAATCAGTTCAGGTAATTGTCGATTATTTCAAAAATTTATTTCTCAAAAACTAAAAGCGTTTTTCAAAACGGCTTGTTGCATTAAAAAGAGGATTCTTTAATTAATAACTGCTGATATTTCCACAAGTATCCTCCAAGAAATTAATTTTATAGCGAATTTTGAAAATTATCGATGAAAATTGCAACAAGAAAATTTTATTAAAACTTCAAATATTGTTTTCTCAAAAACTAAAAGTTATTTTTCAAAGCGGGTTGGTTCTTTGGAAAGAGGACACTTTTGTTAACACTTTGGGAAATTTTCATACTCATATTCCAAGAAATCGATTTTATACGAATTTTTAAACCTTAATCGGCGAAAATTGCAAAATTCGAAAAAATTGTCGATCATTTCAAAAATTTATTTCTCAAAAATTAAAAGCGATTTTGCAAAACGGCTCGTTGCATTAAAAAGAAGATACTTTAATTAATAATTGGTGATATTTCCACAAGTATCCTCCAAGAAATTAATTTTATAGCTAATTTTAAAAGTTAGCGATGAAAATTGCAACAAGAAAATTTTATCAAAACTTCAAATATTGTTTTCTCAAAAACTAAAAATTATTTTTCAAAACGTTTTGGTTCATTGGAAAGAGGACACTTTTATTAACATTTTGGTAAATTTTCATACTCATATTGCAAGAAATTGATTTTATACGAAGTTTTAAAACTTAATCGGCGAAAATTGTAAAATTCGAAAAAATTGTCGATCATTTCAAAAATTTATTTCTCAAAAATTAAAAGCGATTTTTCAAAACGGCTTGTTGCATTAAAAAGAAAATACTTTAATTAATAATTGGCGATATTTTCACAAGTATCCTAAAAGAAATTAATTTTATAGCGAATTTTGAAGGTTATCGATGAAAATTGCAACATCGGAAATTTTATCAAAACTTCAAATATTGTTTTCTCAAAAACTAAAAGTTATTTTTGAAAACGTGTTGGTTCATTGGAAAGAGGACACTTTTATTAACATTTTGGGAAATTTTCATACTCATATTCCAAGAAATGGATCTTATACGAATTTTAAAACTTAATCGTCGAAAATTGTAAAATTCGAAAAAATTGTTGATCATTTCAAAAACTGCTAGATCACAAAGGTGTCATCTACGTAACAACGCTAAATCTTTGGTTTCCTTAACGCTTCTTTTTCATACAATTCCGTGCAGAAAATGATGATTACTCCATGGCTGGTCCTTTGTATTGTTCGTAGAATTCTCCCTTCCAGCTGAAATATGATGCTGATAAACATACTTGATCTAGAACAATACTTTTTATCCGGAGCTGATCTCTTCCAACTTCGCACCCCCCTTAACAGCGTCTTTCAATCTTCACCTTAGTCTTCTAGTTGGTCTTTTTTCTTGCATTCGGCTATTTATTGTTCTTTTCTGTTTTCTCCATCCTGTATCCTGATAACATATCGCGCTCAACGTAGTCTTTTAGTTTTCGCATAGTCGGATAGAGGGTTGTTCTCCATAATAACGATAGGCATGTTGTTCTATAATTTTCGCACTCTGTGGTATCACCTTTTTTTGTGTATGGGTACTATAATATTACTCTCTTCAGATATTCTTCTAATCTTCAGATATTCAGTACGTTCCATGTTTGGTTGTAAATTTTTATTACCCAGGTGGTAACTATTATTCCACCCTTTTTGAGCATTTCAGATGATATTGTGTCACCCCCGACGACTTACCGTTTTCTGTTTTCTTGAGTGTTTCCTTTACTTCCTCTTCCGTTGTAGGTTCTTGTGTCTGCTCTTACTTTGTGTCGTCTTGTTCTCCTTGTTCTTTTTCCATGTGTTTCTCCCCTTTTTTCCCCGAAAGTGTCTGCAGAATGTTCTTTCTAAGCTCCTAGGATTCCTTGTATTATTGCTTCTAAACTTTCTCTTCTATTTTTAATATTTCTGATTTTCTTGGACGGAGTATTTTTGAGTATTTTTATTGTATTCCAGAATTCTATCTGGTTATCGTTGTAGTTTTCCTGTATTTTTCTACCGAATTCCTCCCGGGCCTTTTTTGCTTAATTTCGTTTCTCAATGTAGTTTGTTCTGTACTCCTGCGATCTGTTTTTTTACATATTTTTTCCAGGCTTCTGTCTTTTCTTTGACCTTTCTTTTTATGGTTTCGTCCCACCATTTGGATCGTTTCGTATTAGCTTCCTGTCTTACCATCATTTACGCCGCATATTTCCTCTTTCATTTCAAAGATTGTTTTCTTAAATCATTTCCATGTCTCCCCCAAAGTCCATGGATCTTGTTTGTGTATTTCTTCTTTCTCTTCTAGTCTTTCCAATTTTCTTGTGGGGATATCCTCGTTTTTTTGGTAAAACATCAATCTCATCCTTATATTGCCTGTTTGCATTCTTTGTAGGTGCATATACTTGTATGAGTCCTACTTTCACTTCCAGTTGTAGAATCTAGTGTTATGATTCTTGAGTTTATGGGTTTCCATCATGTCACCCTTCTTTCTAGTGCATTGTCTGGTATTATGCCTGCTCCTGTAGAGCGCCCTGTGCCTGCTCCTTGTACCTCCTCGTAGAACATCAATCTCATCCTTATCTTGCCTGTTTGTTCATTCTTTGTAGGTGAATATACCTGTATGAGTCCTACTTTCACTTCCAGTTGTAGAATCTAGTGTTATGATTCTTGAGTTTATGGCATCCCATCATGTCACCCTTCTTTCTAGTGTATCGTCTGGTATTATGCCTGCTCCTTCTGTTGCTCTAGTATCTATTGGTACCTATTTCCTTAGAATCTTAGCGTATATCCCTTAACCAAATGTTTTGTACCATTTCCCTTTTTCTTGATTTCCGATATATCAAATTTTGTTTTACTTTTTTTTACCCGCCAGAGAAATAATATTCTATGTTCTAAATCTAAATCTTATCCTATTTCTCGCTAGTAGTCTCCTATTGTTCCGTCCTGAGGCTCGTTTTATTGCTCTGATTCTATATGTTACGTGTGCATATTTAGCCCAACGCCAGAGGTGCTCTTACCTGGGGACAACTGGGCCGTATTCTGGCAGGTGCCCTTATCTTATGGGGTTCTATCACTCGAACAGGCCATCTGAACCCCGGTTATTATTAGAAAGCGTTATTTCTCCATCACAACCCCATTTATCCTGACTTGTGACAGGTGTCTACCTGAGTTCAAAATTGGACACAGGATGGTTGGGTCCTACCATTAAACTTTAATATGATGACAAGAATTTGTGAAAACTTTCATTATATAGATGCTTTAAAACACTTTATACACTGTTTTAATTAACTATCGTACCCGACGTCATCATTGCAAGTATGCAACCAATATCACAGTAAAATATGATATAATACGCGATTTACGTATTGGATTACCAATACTGTGATATTGGTTGCATACTTGCAATGATGACGTCGCGTACGATAATTAATTAACACACTGTATTTATAAATAATATGTATAACTCAATAAAGATGCAATAACAATTATAATCCTCTAAACACACTTAATTGCACGTGTTTAAAACTTAATATTATTACTATTTAACAACTAAACATTTAAAAAATAAAACATAACCTTAATTAGACCTTTGTAAAACTTAATTAAATCATGGTTTTGGACTCTAATTTTCTAATAACGTTGTAAATATATCTTTCTTTTTAGTGAGGTTTAGGAATAAATATTTGTACAGTCTTCTCCCGTTATTTTCTTATTGGAATGGTAAGTTAATAATATTTCCTCTAACAACTTTTTATTTATTTTTATTTAATACATTTTTCCTCGAAATAAATTATAGCTTTGTAAATACTTTTAAGTAGAAATAATATTAATATTATTTTAATTTTAGGATGTCTGTGTTATGGTCTATTCCAAGGCTAACAATTCAACTTCCAAAATATGTTTTAAGATTCGGATAAATTAACTATTAAGATATAAAATAAATTTTAAGAACATAAAAGAATCAAAAGCAATATGTATATAGTTATAGTTTAATTTCAAAAATGGTAATTTCTTCGAACAAACTTGTCGTTAAATAACTTTCTTATTGTATTTATTTTGATATTGTTATTATCTACATGGAAGGCTGTGTTAATTCTACTAATACATTACAACTATTACATTTTTTGGTAAATGTAACATTCTTTTTCTATGTAGAAATGTTCTATTTAATACATTTTTTGTAACATATAGTGTTACATTAAACATTTATAAAATAAACAAATTTATTTATTCACCGATTTAATTTTATATTATAACAAAAAACCTAAAACCAAATACATTTTTTAAACTAATTTTTCTTATTCCTTTTACGAATTCCAACTTTAATCCCCGTTTTTGAACGTAACGTTATCTCCGCACACAATATTAGTTCCTGTTTAACTTCAACAAACTCGTAATTTAATAATAGTTTTGCAAGGACAACGTGCATAGATAACATTGCAAATTTTTGACCTAAAACAATAATAATTTAGGTTTTTCTCTCACAATCAGAATATAAAAAAAATTACCGATACAATTTCTAATTCCAGCATTAAAAGGGGCATAACTATATCTATTTGGATTTAAATTTTCCACAAGAAATCTTTCCGGGATAAATTTTTCAGGTTCTGGATATACATCGGGATCCATGTGCATCATAAACGGCAACATCAACACCATTAATCCTTTAGGTAAGATTGTTCCTTCGTAATTAATGTCTTCGTTTAGCGTTCGCACAAATAAAGGAGCTGACGCTTTCATTCTCATCGATTCCTTGATAACCAAATCTAAATATTTCATTTCTTTCACATGATGATTTGTTATGGGTTGGTTGATGTCATCACCAAGCATTGCAAATACTTCATCATACGCTTTTTGTTGAATTTTTGGGAATATTGATAAGTGATAAAGAAGAAATGATAACGTTGTTGCAGTCGTATCAAAAGCCTGAAATAAAATTGAAGTAGGAAAATTTAATATAATTTAGATACAATCTTACTGCAGCAAGCATCATTATTAATTGACTTGAAATAAAATGTTCGGTAATATTTTTATCGTTTTCCATGTGGTTGATTAATATATCGATTAATATCGGTCTTCTTTCGATTATCTTATTTTCGTGTAATTCAATTTTCTTTTTTCTAATAAGTTCTCTTACATGATCAAAAAGAATTTTTAACGTTTTCCTTTCTTTCCAATAAGTTTTAGTGAATACGTATGTTGCGTGGAGGTAGGTTGTTGGTGAAATGGCTCTATCCATACAAATTTTCATAAACAGTCTTACTGCATTTAAAAATTCTGTTTTATCAGTTAATACTGTGTCACCCAATAAGGATTCTGTTCAAATACGATAATTTTATTCAATTTAGTAAATATGATAAGGAATATTGTGTTATTTTGGGATTAAATATAAAATTTTTACTAACCATAAGCCTGTTCTAATGTGTAACAGCCAAAAACCTTCCCCATCTCCGTTGATTCATTATTTATTTCAACCTCTAATCTTTTTATAAGCCCGTTTGACTTCTCATTGAAAACATTTATATTTTCAATGACGCTTGTATAATCTAAAGCTGGATTTAAAAATTTTCTTTGCTGCCGCCATTCATCACCTAAATAGAAAATGAAATATTTTTAAATACCTAAATTAAATAGATCTCCATTTCTATAACAAAATTACCGTTAACTGCAATTAATGAATTTGCAATGCTGTTGCTTAACATTTTTGAAAGTCTTTCTGGCTTATTGATGTGCTTTGGGGATCCAAGAATAAGTGAAAATATCTTAGGATCAGCAGTGAAGAGAGTTGGAATTGGTCCTATCATGGCGAAAAAATTTTTACCTAGTGTTTTTATTTCTGATTCTATCACATAGTATAAATCTACAACAAATTTATAGACAACAAAATTTATATTATAAAATGTTATTAATTTAAATGTTTTTTTCGAAATAACATTTATTTAAAAAAAAATACAAGAAATGATACTTAATACTAGTGATGGAAGGGATAGTTATTTTGCGCAAAGCCCGGTATCTGGCTTTAATTAATAATTTGGTGATATTTCCACAAGGATCCTTCAAGAAATTAATTTTATAGCGAATTTTGTTTATAGCGAAGTTATCGATGAAAATTGCAACGTCGAAAATTTTATAAAAACTTCAAATATTGTTTACTTAAAAACTAAAAGTTATTTTTCAAGACGGGTTGATTCATTGGAAAGAGGACACTTTTATTTACACATAGGGAAATTTTCAACCTCATATTCCAAGAATTGGATTTTATACGAATTTTTAAAATTTAATCGGCGAAAATTGCAAAATTCGAAAAAATTGTCGATCATTTCAAAAATGTATTTCTCAAGAATTAATAGTGATTTTTCAAAACGGCTTTTTGCATTAAAAAGAGGATATAATAATTAATAATTGGTAATATTTCCACAAGAATCCTTCAAGAAATTAACTTTATACCGTATTTTGAAAGTTATCGATAAAAATTGCAACATC